CTAGGTCCCTTCCGACTCTTAATCTATGAATCTATGAAAAAAGATGAAGAGGAAGATCCTTGTGCAAACCTGGCTTCTCCAACCAAATACTGAATTCAGGATTTCAAAGCAAACGTGGAAAAACTGAAGTGAAAAGAGGCATTCTGTTTTGTTTCTTAAAACCATGTATTTACCCTTTATGATCTTAGTGGTTGGCTTTGGTCTCTAGCAGAAGCAAAAACTGATGACTAAGCTGAGTATCTTTGAAGTAATCCTATTTACTAAGAACTAATGTACATACCTTGTTTCCCTAGCTACAAGAGGATTCAAACAATAAAAGATGGCTTGCAACACTCTCTCCGACAAGGTTTTTTCAGAAATATAGTGCTTTTGCAGGCTGTACCCAGTGTTATTTCTCCTTCTGTGTCTATTTTTGTAGTGCTTCACCTGACAGTTGCTCTTCCAGTCAAACCCAACAATCCCCACTGCTGAACACAACAATTCCCAGGTAGCTGCTTCTCCCATACAATTAAATTTCTGGGCAGGCCTAAATGTGACTTTGTTCAGGGTTGTGACATGTCCATGTTACATTTTACAACAGAGGCCTCTTCCTCAATCTTAAGTGAAGGGTATAAGATGCACCTATTGGCCTCAATCACATTTCAGCAAACCCAAAAGGACAGCAAACTCCTGTCCTCATCCGAGGCAGCTGGTCCATGTGGCTAGTGGGAAGCCAATAACAATATACTGCCCTCTAAATGTTTGGCACATGAGATCTTATTTCACTTCAGGATTGTTCAGATCAAGTAACTACTAATGTCCTGTAGACCACTGTTCCCAGATTTCTTGAACTGAAGTATTTTACCATATTTACCTGTATCCAAGATGACTTTGAATTTAAGATGACTCCCCGCCCCCATAATTAGATTCTATACATGGAAATTTCTTGTTTGTTATAATTTTTCAGGTATAGAATCTAATTATTGGAAGGTTGTCTTACATTCATCCCCCTCACTGTTGCAGCAGGGAAAACAGCAATAGTGGGGTAGGCAGTGAGGGAATCTAGTGCTGCTTGCCTCTCCACCACAGCAGCACCTACAGCCCCTAGCACCTGTCACCTCCTCCCATCCCATGTTGCCTGCACCCCTGGCACCTGCCCCTTCCACCACTGGCCTCCCCAGGACCTGCCCCCTCCAAAACATGCCCCCCATTTGCCTCTGTACCTTCCTCCCCCCAATCTACTTCCCTGCACTACCACTTGCCCTCCAGCTCTGGCCCTGCCTCTAACCTTACTCCAACCCAGGGCATGGAGCACATGGTCACTCCAGCCCCCACGCAGCCCAAACAGCAGTAGTTGCAGCAGCAACAGCATTAGCTCTGGCCCCAGCCCTGTAGCTCTTGCCATCATTGCCAGTATGGCATGGGCTGGGGCTGGAGTGACCCTGTGCTCCATGCCCCTGGCCAGAATAGGGCTGGAGTTGGAGGTAGTAGGAAGGCAGTAGCTGCTGCTTTAGCTCCAACCACAAGCTTAGGTTAGGGCCAGAGTCTGAGCCATAGCA